TCGTGGCCGCCTGTTTCGCAGATCTCGCACCAGAGGAGGCTGCTGTTGGCGGAGGAGCGGCCGTCAGACTCTGGCATTACGGAGAGCGCGGGGGGAGCGTCGCGGCGGGTTTGCTGTGGTGGTTCGCGCCAGTTGACGACGGTGTCTTTTGAGTCGCGCTCTGAGGGCTTCTCTTGGGTCGCCGTGTGTTCAGAGAGGCCGTTGCTGATGACGCTTTCGCGCTGCTCTGCGAGGCCGAGCTGCCTCTTTAGCTTCTCGAGCTCGCGTTCTAGCTCTTCTTCCCTGTAGGCCTTGCGTTCCACAAGACCGCGGAGTTCCTCCTTCTCGCGCTCGAGTCGTTCTGCGTTCGCTTTGGCGCTCTGAAGCTCTTCGGCGTCGACATTGGATGCTTGTCGCGATAGTGGTGAGCGGACACGGTCGTCTCCTCCACCAGAGCTCAAGGAGTGGATGATGGCCTTGAGACCTCGAATCTCGTCATCGCGCTGCTCGACTTCTCTTTGCCCTGATGTGTGAGGTGCGTCGACCATTGCGCCGGCACCCTTGAGAGCAGCAGCGGCCTTTTCGCGTTCGCGACGGAGTTCAGATCTGCCTCGCTCGACTTCGCCCCGCAAGAATTCGACTTCTCCTCGGGCCTCTGCTTCGCCTCTCCGCGCATCCTCTAGGCCTTCTTCCAACTCTTGTACAAGCTCTTCTAGTTGTTTCAACTGCATCGCTACAGTCTCGACATCTTCACTGCGGGACGCATATTCCCGTAGCTCTTCTTGTAACTCTTCCACCTTCTTTTCGTATACGCGCTCGGTTTCGGTGCTGGCCAGCTCTAGGGTATCGATGGTGCTTCGGAAATCGGATCGATGTGCGTCGAACTCAGATGTGAGCATGGCGATCTTATCGTTCTTCTCCCTAAGAAGTGCTCGTAGTTGCGCTACATCGGTAGGCTCGCTGCTGCCATGCGCCGAACCCATATCCAACCCGTCTTCTGGTATCAGGCTTTGAATCTCTGACAGACTGGCTTCCATTTCGCTCAGCGACGCAGCCTGCTCCTTGAGCTGCTTCTCGCGTTCGTCCAGGAGCGCCTGAAGCCGCTGTACTTCTTCGTTTGGTTGCGAGCCGAGGCGCGAACCAGGTCTTTTATACTTGTAACTTGCCATGGAGTCATTGCTAGTCCGCGCTGCGCCGACTGGGGTTGTCTCATTGTCTTCGTCGATGGTGTCTTGGTGGCCGAGACGGGAACTGCTTCGCGAGTAGGGTCGTTGCGGACCAGGTGTGCGTGGTTTCTGTGGGAGAGGGGCTCTGGGTGCAGGGCTGGCGTAACGAGGAGGCGCTGGACTGGCGAATCGCGGGGGCGCGCCGATTGCGCTCTTGGAGAAGCCAGAGGGTGTAAGTCCGCCGCTCCTTCCCGGTGTTGGACCGGTACCAAGGCTGCCTTTTCGGAGAGGAGACTCGGGTCTGTATGATGGTCTGGCTTGGGGCGGCCGCTTGGGACTAGGCGCGCGGGCTCCGGGCCCGACAGACTGTGAGAACTGTGGTTTTGGCATCGAGGGGGTATTAGGGCTGAAGCTCGGCTTCTCCATGGTGGAGAGACTGAAGTTGTTATGGTATGAAGGCGTGGTAGGCTCAGGTGCAAAGTCCGATGAGTCGGCCGAGACCCGTTTCTGAGCGCGATGTACGGGCAGGAAGATGCCAGAGCCGGGAACAGACGTATCGAAGTACTGTGTGCTGTAGACAAGTCAGTATGCGCGCATACATATCGAGTGTTGTGTGTGCATACCCATCGACAGCGCCATCGTTCTTGCCCCGCGCTGCATACTCCCTGTTCAGTTCGACGCCCGCGAAGACGCCCTGCTTGCCCCGAATGCTGCCAACAAACTTGACGACACCGACCATGCCGCCGGGGACGTCGACCGTATCGCCGACATCAATATCTTTTCCGTCTGCGCCCATCCTGTTCGATGGCGAGCCTCCAGCGCCGACTAATGCGGATAGCGATGCTTGCCGTGCGATGTTGCGGCTGGCGTTCAGCGAGAGATTGGGCGAGGAAGCAGTGGGGTGGAGTGCAGGGCGCGCTCCAAGACGCCTGGGAGTGTGCGGGTAGGCCATACCGGACGGCGCGTTGACAGGGTCGACCTGTTTGGAGTAGCACAGGGCAGGTTGGACGGTGTTTGTTTTGATGCGATGGTACCGCAGGGGTTGGACTGCCAACGTAGCGGCGACTGACGAGCATGATTAATTAACCGATCGCTACCCAATCCATCTGCACCAGAACGTCAGGGGAAACCTCCCTCCTTTTCTACGCGCAGCCCCTCTTTTCACTTCAATGCTGCTTCGAATAACATCTCACGTTCTCGACATCGCAACTGAAATGCAGCAGTATGTCATACAAGCTGTGGTACGCGACGGTAGCGCGCAGATCCTTGTGCATTGGGACCGACAAAAAGCAATCGATCCCGTACCAATGACAGCATGCAGCCGTCCTATGCCTCGCGACAAACAGTCCTTCATCTGCGTATACTAGACAATGCTACTGCTTGTTTGAAGCATAGGGGGTTTCGTAATATGTGAATTGACTTTCCCATATCCGGCTGCCTGAGCTATTGGACTATGCTAGTATCTCCAGCCATTATTGACGATACTATTGATATCCCAAAGTCCGCCGACGCCACAAAAGCACCATCAAGTCGCGTACTTAGTCTCCGATGACCAAACCATGTCCTTGCTCTATTGACGCGAAGAGACTGAGCCCTGCATAAACAGTGAACGCAAACGCGTGGGCACGTGAGGAGGAGCGGGAGCGGGGGAGGCCGTCAGATTCCCGGCTGCCTCCCGATCGCTTGCTAGAGGCCTGGAATACCCAGCACGTATGAAGAGATTAAAGCTCTGTGGTATTGTGCTGGAACGGGCAGTCCCAAGGCTGCAATCAGCCCTCAAGCTGCCATATCTACTTGAACTACAGATGTGGTAAACATGGATTCAGTCATCAAGACTGCGTATCTAGTCACTGCATGGAAAACAGCAGCACTCCAACAACACGCATCTGCAGTCTTCTTCACGAACACTTCAAATTTCAAAAGGTGTAATATTCCATCAGCATCGACTCAGCTACCCGCGGAGTCGCCGCAGTTCCCGACTCGCCGACCGAGCGCCTTTCCCCATGTTCCACAATTGCCTCGGCTCACGCCTCGGTGATGGTCAACCGCGCCAACTACATCACTGCGCGCGCGCCCACACCATGTTTACTCAACAGCCGCTCTCACCATGGCCGGCAACGTGCGACAACCAATCGACATTGCGTCGCTAGAGCGCTACATCACCGCCAATGTACCGGAGATCAAAGTCCCGCTGGACGTGAAGCAGGTACGCTGCTCGAAGTCGGGATGAGCTGGGCATGAAAGCTGGACATGAAAGCTAACAGCTAAAAGTTCGGTTATGGACAATCGAATCCGACGTACCAGTTGACGGATAAAGATGGCAAGAAATATGTTATGAGGAAGAAGCCCCCGGGTCAACTGCTGTCAAAAGTATGCTGAGCCTTTCCATTTGAGAAAATCGATTATCATAACTAACACGAGGTTTTGTAGACTGCGCACAGAGTCGACCGCGAGTACAGAATCATCCACGCACTCGAAAAGACCGATGTTCCCATCCCGCGCGCACTATGTCTTTGCCAGGACCAGGACGTCATTGGCACCGACTTCTACATCATGGACTTCCTCGATGGGCGTATCTTCGAAGATCCCGCAATTCCAGGCGTAACAGCTGAAGAACGGACGAACATGTATGACCTCTCAGAACCACTTGAAAATCGACGACAGTACTAATGCATAACCTCCAGGTGGCACTCCGCCATAACCACGCTCGCGAAATTCCATCGCGTATCCCCCGCGTCTGTCAATCTCGCCTCCTACGGAAAGAGCTCTGGCTTCTACAACCGCCAAATTGCAACCTTCGACACCATCTCCAAATCGCAAGGCGCAGCTAAAGACAAAGAGACTGGGGAGCCAGTAGGCAAGATACCGCATCAAGACGACATGGTAGCCTTTTTCAAAGACCCAAAGACGCAGCCCAAGGACCGCGCGACCTTTGTCCACGGCGACTACAAGATCGACAACGTCGTTTTCCACAAGACAGAACCTAGGGTGATCGGTATCTTGGACTGGGAAATGAGCACGATCGGCCACCCGCTGTCTGATCTGAACAACGTTCTCGCGCCCTACGTGACAGCATCGGATGAGACTGCAATGTCTATTGGGCGCGCGCACAAGGGCTTCCAGCCTGGAGCTACACCTGGTCTGCCTACCCGCGAGCAACTGATTGCGTGGTACTCTGAAGTTGCAGGCTGGGATCCGCGACCGGACTTCGTTTGGGGCGACGCTTTCAGTACGTACAGGAGTGCCATTATCATGCAGGGAATTGCGGCACGGTATGCGTTGAGACAGGCGAGTAGCGAGCAGGCGCAGTCGTATGGGGCTATGATGAAGCCCTATGCGGAGATTGCATGGGGTCTTGTGCAGAAGATTAACAGAGGGGAGAAAGCGAAGCTATAGCGTTCTGATCTGTGCAGACTGTTCGTCAGTAAATCATATTTCAAATGCATTTGAATTCTTCTTTGTAAAATCGTGATGTTGGAGCTGTAAAGGTGGTTTGTTGACTCTCTGACTCTGAAGATAGTAATGGCCGGGCGCCGTTGCACTTTTCTCTACCAGATTCTTTTATCGAGATCCAAGCCTATCCTCGCCCAATTTGCCCAGCTGGTATCATGTGGGTACAGTATCGTCCTGTAGATATAAAAATGTCAACATAGATGTTCCGCAAATATCCTCCGTGATGGTAATGCTCTGGATGGGCAGGCGTAAAAAGGGGCCTGGTGAGGCATACCCGTAAGTGTTCGCGCCTCAAACGCCCATGCGCCTTATAATGCCCGGATTCTGTCCATCTGCCTCGCTCTTGCTCTCTTTCGATGTACCACGGGCGCTGTGTTACTCGTCGCTTGCGCGTTTGATTCTCTATCGTCCGATCTTGGGTACGTCCTGGTTGATGCGGTCAAGCGCCTGCGCCTTGGTTAGCTTTGATTTCTTGCCTCTCAGGATATGGGATTCCGTACTTCAAGCATGACCACTGCATTCCCTCTGATGACGACCATGCCGATGCGCACCTTCTCGCCGCCAGCCTTCTCCTCTAGCGCCTCATCGAGTACAATGTTTAGGTAGACCTGCGGTGTGTTAGCTCGATTCAGAGGTAAAAGTGAAAGAGTACGTACGTCGTAACCGCGGAGGATACCCATGACTTTGCGGCTGCCATTGAGCTGGACGAGAACGCGCTTCTCGAGGTACTTTACAAGGTTAGGTTCTGGAAGCTTGCGTCTGCGTTGTTCACTCACCTTCTTGAGTTCTGGCTGTGCTTGAGGCATCTTGACGGTAGTAGACTGTTTTGAGCTTGAATGTGGCGGTACAGGTTCCTGGTGACGGCTTCAGGTGGCTTCGCTCGTGTGGGTCTGTCGTGAGCTGGAGACGCGCGTGGTGTTCACGAGCAAGAGCAGCGCTGCGCATGGTGGGATAGCTCCGTGGATTTTGCGGAGGGCCCGTGCGTAGGCGGCAGCCACGACATGTGCGCGCGCATGCTATCTTCTGCTCTACTACTCAACATCCCTTTCTGACAAAGGAACTTTTAACACAAACATCCTCACGATGAAGCGATCCGGTTCCAACCGCGTTGCACGCAAGATTGGCAGCTACGATGACGACGCATCCACCGACAGCGCAAACACCTCGCCGAGCGAAGTACAGAAGCCCACAGGTCAGTCACCAATTGTCGCGATTGCCAGCCTTTCTGACGTTGGGGAAACTCACAGCGAATCTCTCCAGGCCTTGTTGAAAGCTGGCGACTTAGGTGGCTCCGTACTAACTGGCCGTGTAGTCGTCAAGCGGCCAACGATTGGTAAAGCGAAGAAGCGTTCTTCCCTACGAGTGTCTTTTGGCCCAGGCGAAGACGCGAACGATGGCGACGACTCGAGCGACACAGCCGTCGTGACTCCGAAGAAGGCAAACCTCAGTCGCATAGCCCTGGAGAAGAGTGCGCAACTGCGGGCGCGCTCACCCCTCGTACCTGAAGCCGCTCGCCCGACCGAATACAGCAAGGACTACATAGCAGAACTGCGAAACTCGACGCCGTCAACACCCCGCGACCTGAATACTTCCGCTGAAGATGACGAGGAGACGCAGGCCCTAGATATCGCATCGAAATTCGGTCCTGTCGCATCGCTAGAGACGTCATCTGCGATCCCCACAGAAGCCGAGATTCGCGAGAAGAAGGCGCGGAGACGTCGTTTGGCGCATGAGGAGAACGCCCTCGACGACGAAGACCGCGCGTGGGCATCCGATGACCAGGGAGAAGACGAGTTCAGACAGCACAGGAACGAGATTTCCCTCCGACCAAAAGACAAGTACGGAGAAACGCGTCTCATACACGAAGATGAGGACATAGCCGAAGGTTTTGACGATTTTGTCGAAGATGGCAAGATTTCGCTTGGTCGCAAGTCAGAGAAGGAAGCGCGGCGAAGACGGCGCGCGGAAATGGCAGAACTCATCAACGACGCCGAAGGTGGTTCAGGCGACGACGGGACGGACGACTCAGACGAAGAGAGGAATACCGCTTTCGCCGCAGCTCAAGCCCGCGCAGGACGATACGGCCAAAAGATCGAAGATGAGGAAGATGGCACAAAGACTCCACCGCGCATTACGCCCCTGCCAGACCTAGACGAAGTCCTAGAAGGTCTCACGATCGATATACAGACAAAGCAGCAGAGGAAAAACCTGATCCTACAGAAGCTACAAGACCTAAAGGACGACAAGGTTAGAATTGAGGAGCGCAAGAAGTACCTCCAGGAACAACTGCAGAAGACAGGCGACGAGTACGAAAAGCTGCGCCAGGAGTCAGGGCTTCCTGCGTTGCCCGCAAATGGCGTTGAAGGAGGCCGCTTGATCACAGAGAGAGGGTTGGACAGTCTGGGTACTACGCCTTTGGCGGGTACTACACCCGTAGCCGGTAGATCCAGCGACGACTCTGATGATGAGTAGCGTTTGTTAGAATTGGGGTATCCAGCTCCAGCATGGAGATGCTGGGCCAGCCGTATAGTAATACTATGAACATCCTTCATGAATGTGTATGAACGCTCCCGTAACGCCTGAAATCCGCATTCGTATAATACAAGAGCCTAAAAGCTCAACGTTGATCGTATCCGTAAACTCCCATCCGTATGCAATATCTCCTCCATGCCCGTGACAGACCCCGCGCATGCTCATTTGTTCTCATCCAACTCCTTCCACACCTTCTGTATCTTCTCCCTCTTCTCCTTTGCCGCCTCGCGATTCTGCTTCGTCCGCTCAAGTCGCAGTCCGCGCAGGCACATGTTGACTTTGTATTTCGCGTCGGTGCAATTCCCGGTTACTTTCCAGATGAAGCCGCGGTTATGGCATTCTTCTAGCGCCGCGACGACGTCTGCGCAGTCTATACCGTGGATGTTAGAAGGTGTGCGCTGTGGGCTGCGTGGAGGGGGAGGGGTGGCGCACTCTTTTGGACTTCTTCGGTGTGGAGATGGGGATGCATTGTGGGTTTGCGCGGGGTTTGGTGATTGGGAGGGTAGACGGTGCGAGGTTTTGGAGTCTTGGAGCAGAGGTTGGTGGTGCTGGGCTCGATCGGACGGGTACTTGGAGATGTTGAAGTTGCCGACGAATCGAATCGTTGAAGATCTCGTGAACTGCGTCCGAGCGCGCGCCTTCACTCGTAGCCACTTTGTGTCGAACGCGTGAAGACTCGCGAGACCTTTTAGAAATTACTCAGCCACTTCCATTCTCTGTTCTCTATCCAAGATCAGCAACTATCCGACTTCGTACCTACATAGTACGCATAGAATCAAGAATCTTCTCTCCCCCGAGTTCCCCGCAACCACCGCCGACTCCTCACCACAGGGCACACGTCAAAAAGTCACATCGTCAGTATGGCATCCCAGCAGCAGCTGAAGAAGCAACAAGGTTAGTGGTCATATTGATTAATCTTTTCGCCATCGCTGAACCAGAACAGAGCTACAGACGACATATCAAAATTACAAGGTAAGAACGGTTTACAAAGGCGTAAATGCTTAACTGACCTTTTCGAAGAATACACTCCAAACAATTGCCTCAAAGATTGGTGACATCGAGCAAGAGACAGAAGAGCACAAGTAAGTTGCATAGCACCATCACTACGAAGCCACACCCGGCGATCGTTCAAACCTTCCCACACCGCTCGTCCCTTGCATCAGCCTTGCATTGCTCCATGACTTTGATAGTTCCAATATCTCACACCGCTTCATGTTCCCATTACAACATAATCAATACTGACAGATACCAGACTCGTATTGGAGACGTTGCAACCATTGTCAGGAGACCGGAAATGCTTCCGTATGATCAACGGTGTCTTGACCGAGCGAACGGTCAAGGACGTTGTGCCGATCCTGCAGACCAACTCGGATGGTCTTAAGCAGGCTCTGGAAGAGCTAGTCAAGCAGTACAAGTTGAAGCAAGATGAGATGGAGAAGTGGAAGGTACGTCATCAGTTGCACTTGAATCTCACACAGCGTTGACCCCGGCTTCTATTTCGATATCGAGTAACTAACTTCCCTTACAGAAGAAGAACAATGTCCAAGTTGTCCAACAGCCAGGGCAGTAGAAGATACCAGTGATGCAGCAACCCTTTGACAGGATGGGCACACGGCATATGCTGGGAGCCACATGAGATGACGCAGACGAGTACGGCAGCGATATCTCCGGTGACTGGAATTGGGGTAGATGGATCGGGACCCTGGCAAAGGGTTCTGCGTGTTCCAAGACGGAGTATACAGACGTAATAGGGTCTGTCCGGTTTCCGATGTTTGCACAGCAGGCCAGGCCACGACAGAACAGCACAGCCTCTTGATGACAACGAAAGGCTTGCCAGTAAATGAGTCCTATATCGATCGTGTACTATACCTCCCACAAATTACGAGAATCTTGCAATGTCACGATTGAACCAGCCACGACAGACCCGGGTCGCTGGGCTTTCAGCTACCATCCTACCAATGATGCCGCACATGCAGCCTGAAAGACCCCACAAGCTCGCAACTACGTATGTGTCTACATGAAGTGACTGATTCAGGACTGCGCCGTTGTCCCGGCACGTGCTCCCAACCCAGGGGTCTCTGCAAGATGCGTTGTCCAGTCGGCTCCCACTTAAAGCAACGCACTGATCTGCACCATCTCACCCATGAAAACGGACACGTAGCTCATAGGCTACCAGCAAAGTCTTCACAGAGAATGACGAACGGTCCGGGGGTCGAGTCGTTAGTGGCTGACTTGAACGTCATCTCGTGTTGGCTTAGTGAAGCTGGAGCAAGGCTGTATGCAATATGCGCGAGGGCCCAACGAACAGCGAAGACTACTGACGTCGACGACGGCCTGGGATGATGCTAGAAGAGGCTTGGACAACACACGTTCTCGCTGGATGTCATCTGTGGCTGCAGTGGTGAAGACGCGGCAGAGATATGGACGTGGGGTGATGTTGGTAGGGCTGCCGAATGAGCTGCTGATGCGACTCGCATACAGGATCGCCAGCTAGCTCGAGGAGTCTGCAGTAGTAGGCCAGGTTCCGAACAGACGGTATGCCGGTGCTATGACCGGTCCGAATATTGAAGGACATGCGCGGTATTGTAGAAAGCTGCGCGTTGGAAAGCGAATTCAGGGCGCAATGTTGCTGGGCATGATGTGAGGGGAGCTGCTTCGGCACGGGCCGGGATTGGTGCGGGCGGCCGAATTTCTCTTCGTTCTCACCATTCGATTCGCCCATCGAGGTAAATCCCCAATCCACCATCTCTCCGCGCACCAACGCTATCGCGCGTCCAAGCTCCATCTTCCCCCATCTTCTCCTCGCGCTCCTATTGGCAGGCGCGTCGTCAACTGCTCCAACGTCGCGACGTCAAGTCTCGATTGACAACTGCCACGCCTAACTGCGCCCGAATAACGCCCTGATTCAAGCCGGTCCGCCTGCATATCGTCCCACCGCTACTCGCAAGACACGGTCTGTGAATCGCCAGTGTCGCACGCGGTATCGTGCCCGCCGCCCGTAGCACACCAACTCCGCCGTGTGTCGCGACTGCCCCGATCGCGGTCGCGCCTGCCACTGTCGCAAAGCGCCCCTGCCAGCTCCATCGTGGGTGCGACGCCAGCATCGCAGGTAGCCCCGGGCGTCACCACGAGCCGTAGTTCACTCAGCGCTCCCTTGCGCCGTGCTCTCCGCTGTCGCAGCTCCCCACGTACGTTAGCTGCATCCCAAGCTGGCCGCTGCATGCCACTAACCGCTTCCTTCGCCAGGCCTCTCGTTACACCACTGACCGCAGGT